ATCAACGACATATGTGACCCCTTTTTTGTTAGTTCATAAATTCTTCAGTTCGTTTTTTTTTATCCCTTATTCAGATTGAGAGAAACTTACAGAGGAAAGAAAATTAGATGGAAAAATATGGAGAAAAATCAATTTTTTCTGACTTGGATATGAGAGAAAATATGGGAGGAAGCTTGCTTGGATTAAAATAAAATTAAGGGGGAAAGAAAACTGGAAAGAAAAATATGAGGAGAAATGAGTTTTCTAAATATCAATGTAATCAATTATTTCAAAATCAATTCTAATTGAATTGATCCCCATCCTATCGAAATTCATTTAATTAATACATGTATCTACCAATTCAACATAGGCACAAGATTTTTTAGGATTGGATAGGAGAGAAAATATGAGAGGAAGAAAAAATGGGAAAAAAAAAGGTAAACTCCATATCTCATTTTCTCTCCAAATATGGAGAGACTTGGGAAGAAAAACAAGATTTTCTTGATTATCCCTCCTCTCTTCCTCTCACATTTATTTTCTTTTATTATATTTAAAAAATTATTCACTTTTTATTTTTTATCTTACAAGAATTTTTTTTATTAAATAATTTGCTTTTAAAATATAATACTATGAAAATATATATAAACCAAATAACTTGATTTGAAATTATTTGATCATGCTAAGGTTAGTATAACATCCCTATTGCAATATTTAATTTGATTTAATTTTAAATATGATATATTTTGATAAGGGTATTTTAGTTATTTAGATATTTACTCATTCTCTTTCCTTCTTATTTTTCTCTCATCTATCCAAGCAAAAAGATGTAACATCTTTTCTCTAGTTTTTCCTTCTCTCTATTCCTGTTATCCCATTTTCTTTCCTCCCAACTTTCTTCCCATTCAAGCGGAGTGGAAAAGTGGGAGAGAAAATAAAATGGGCTGCCATGCATCTCATTGCTCTTCAAATTTTCTCTTTATATATTGAGAGGTTTGGGAAGAAAAATAAGGTTTTTGTGACTGTCCCTCCTCTCTTTTTCTCTCCATATTTATTTTTTTATTATATTCAAAAGATTATTCACTTTTTATTAAATAATTTGGTTTTACAATATGATAATGCTTCGTGCACCAGAATATTTTCCATAATGTGTACCTTTGGAGAAGCAATGAGTAAGACGTTAATAGTAGCATTAAGGGTTAATGGAGGACTGAACATTTTGGTCGCTGTAGTGTTAAGGATTTCCGCCTGTCACGTGGACGATCTAAGTTCGATGGCGGGCAACAGCGATTTTTGTCTGTTTTGAACTCGTGGCCACCCAGGTTCGAAGGTATTATTGGATCATTTTCAGAATGGGTAAATAAATAATATTTTCAGTTTGGTTCGCTTTCTTTTACTTATTTATATCAGTTTGGATTATGTGTGGATCAAATTTTATCAATGAAAACAAAAACAGACCAGACTGGCCGGTTTAACCGGAAAACTAGTGAACCGGCCTCCAGTCCGGTCTAGTTTGAAGAAAAAACCGGCTTCAAATGAAACCGGAATGAACTGAAAAAAACTGGCAAAAACCAGAAAAACCATGGGGTTGGTGGGTCACTGGTTTTCCTTTTTTTTTCCCCCCTACTTTTTTACTCTTACTGTCTCACTGCTCACCAGAGAAGACATGGATACTGTTGAGAGAAATGGTAAAAGTACAAAAAATCATAGAAGGAAAGACCCATTTGAAAGTCTCTTGTGTGCAGCTTCGAACCTGTGCTCGTGGAAGAGTGGAATGAAGAGTGGAAGGCAAGGAGGAATATAAAGTAGAATAGATGTGCAGAGGAGAAACAATGGTTACTGTTTACCATCTCTGTTTGAGAAAGAAAGAAACGAAGATGGAGGACCGGAGGAACGAAAGTGAATGAGAAAGAGAAGAAGTATAAGTGTTTTAACTTTCAAAATGTAAATTTGAATATGCCGTTCAAGGAGAAGAGAGGCATAAAAAGGTGACCTTGTGATGTGTTATGGAAAAGAAAAAGTCAAATGTTAGAGAGAGAGAAGGAAGAGATAAAAGTATAAAATAATAATAATAATAATAATAATAATAATAATAAAAGATTGTATTGGGTCGGAAAAGAAAGAAAAGAGAAAAAAGAAATAAAAAAATTATATACATAAATATTTTGTAATATCCTAAAAAATTAGTCTGTAATATGAGTAGCCATTCAAAAAATATTATTTTTAATAACTAAAATATAAATATTTTTACTTACTTTAATTATTACCGGTTTAACCCGGTCTAACCCTAATCTAATCCATTAACCCTTGATCCACTATTTCGACTGGTTTAGTACCTGATCCGGTTTTTTGTTTCTTGAATTTTATTGAATTACTTAATTTTCTACCAAAAAGTAGTAAATACTACCCCCCATCCTTTTTATAAGATTTTGCATGGAAATGTTTGAACATTAAATTTATTTTTACTAATTTTGCTTTTGATTAACTTTTTATTTTCTTTCTTCATCTTTTTTTTCATATTACATTCTTTGTCATTGTTTATTTTATTATTCGCATTTTTTCTTCTTATTTGTTTTCTTATTAAAAATGGATATAGTTGGGAAAAAAAAGTTCAACTTTCAAATGTTTATTGCTTTTAACTATTTTTTTTTTCAAATAATGTAATTTAGTTAAAATGATGTCATAAATACTGGAGGAAGTAATATTTAAACCAGTTTAGGTTGTTTTTTTTTTGGTAGATTATTCATAGTAAGATGGAGTAAATACATATGAGACTAAACTTGTTAATGCATATATATACCGCACAATGCCCATGGAATACATGATTTGATATATGTGAAATGGAAGAACATAAATTAAAGTACACAAGAATATGTGTCACATATTCTCTTGGTGCGACTGAATATTCCAATTTTTCCTTAATTCAAATGGTTTGATTTTCCTTTTTATAAAAATATCCCTATTTAACAACCGCCATTATGACCTACCTTTTACCATATGTACCTTTACTTATAAAGGATGCCTCATCTGTTAGATACCATAGCCTTCGCCTATTCATAGCGCCTTCCAACTTTTGCCATGGCGTTTCGAATCATCATCTGTTTTTGCTTGTTTTTTTTATCCTTCCCCTTCTTCTTTTTTCAACCCCCCATTTTATAATTCTCATGATTCTTTCGCCCTTCTCAAATTCAAAAACTCTCTCTTTTTATCAATATGCTTCAATACTATGTTATAACTTTGTTATTGGTGAATCAAATTATTCACAGAACTCATCTTACCCACAAACAGCTTCAACGGGGATGATTCAAATTGCTGCTTGTGGGATGGGATCACATGCGACTCCATGTCTAGTCATGTGATTGGTCTCGACTTCAGTTGCAGTTGGCTTCAAGGTCAACGTCATCCTAATAGCACTCTTTTTCAGCTTTCTCATCTTCAAACACTCAATTTGGCTTTCAATGATTTTTGTGGGTCTTTGATATCACCTCAATTTGGAAATTTTCCTACTCTCATACATCTAAACTTAAGCTACTCTCATTTTACCGGTGAAATTCCTCCTAAAAGTGTAGAATTGTCTAAATTGGTCTCTCTTGATTTGTCTCATAATGGATTTTACTCATTTGAGAAGTGGAGTCCTTTGAGACTTGAAGCATCCACATGGGAGAAGCTTGTTCAAAACATGACTGATCTACAAGTACTTGTTTTAGATGAAGTATATATGTCTTCCACTACACCAAATTCTTTGTCTTTACCCATGAATTTGTCATCCTCTTTGGTCTCCCTGAGTTGCAGGGAAATTCGGTTAATAACATTTTTCATTTACAAAATCTTTAAAAGTTAGATTTGTCATGGAATGAGAATCTCATAAGTCAACTTCCAAAGTCCATAGGCCATTTGAAGTCTTTGATCAGTCTCTCGAGTCTTCAGCACTTCCAATTTAATGGGCCTATTCTTGCAAGTTTTGAGAACCTAAGTCAGTTAATTGTTTTGGACCTTGCACCAAACAGTTTTAGTGGTGAGTTACCTAATATATTTGAAAATCTTTCAAATTTAGAATTGCTTGATTTCTTTGACAACAAGCTACAAGGTAATTGTCCTCAATCAATTTTTAGTCTCATAAATCTTTCCTCTGAGTCTACCATCAAATTACTTGCTCGATTAGTCTTGATCAATTTTCAAAGCTTAAAAATCTAGCATACCTTGATATTTCTAACAAGTTTCTCTCACTTGACTTTGACAATACCACTCATTGTACCATACCCAATCTTCAAAGTTTAGAGTTATCCTCTTGTAACATCAATGACTTTCCTAAACTATTAGGAAACCTTCAAAATTTGAAGTTTTTAAATCTTTCCAATAACAAAATTCATGGACATATTCCCAACTGGTTCAATAATGCGGGGAGTGGTTCTTCGCTCTATTTGGATCTTTCCCATAATAACTTGACATCAGTTGAACATCTTTCAATGAGAAACTTGAGCTTTCTTGATCTCAGCTTCAACTTGTTATAAGGAAATCTCCCAATTCCATCTTTTTAGTATCTAACAACAAATTCAGTGGAGACATTTCTTCCTCATTATGCAATGCAAGCTCACTTAAGATTCTCAACTTATCTCACAACTTCTTGTCAGGCCACAGCTCGAATTGCCTTGTTGCATTACTAGATCTTAAGTCTTTAGATCTGGAAATGAACAATTTTGTTGGAGCTATACCAAACCATTTTTCTGGGAGCAACTCCTTGCAATCTTTGCATTTGAACAACAATCAATTTGAGAAACGGTTGCCTTTGTCTTTGATCTATTGCAAGAAATTAAAGATTTTAGATGTGGGAGCAAACAAGATTGAAGATGAATTTCCTAATATTACTAGAACTACAGGTACTCAATTTAAGAGACAATAAGTTCAATGATACCGTTTGTAGTTCGAACATCAAACATCCATGTCCTATGTTAAGAATTTTTTATGTTTCCAACAACCATTTTGGTGGAGCTTTGCCAATTGCATACAGCACGAAATTTAAGGGAATGACGGGAAAAGATCACCTTGCAGTTGGTTTGAATTACATGGAAAATAAGCATAACGGTGTTTCATATAGAGAATCAGTGATGGTCACAATAAAGGGTAATGAGGTTGAGCTTGAAAGGATCTTAACTATATTCACAGCCATTGACTTGTTGAATAACATGTTTGATGGAGAGATTTCATATGTTACTGGTGAGCTACGTTTGTTAAAAGGGCTAAACCTGTCCCATAATAAAATTACTGGTTCTATTCCTCAATCCATTGCAAATTTGACAAATCTAGAATGGTTAGATTTATCATCAAATAGGCTTAGAGGTGGGATTCCTCTTGCACTGACAAATCTCAACTTCTTTGAAGTTTTGAATCTTTCACAGAATCAACTTGTTGGAGAAATACCAAGAGGTAAGCAATTTGATACATTTTCACAAAATTCCTTTGAAGGAAATTTAGGACTGTGGATTTCAATTGTCAAAAGCATGTAATCATGATGAAGGGAAATTGCCACAGCCAACTTCATCAACTAATGACAAATTTGGATTTGGTTGAAAACCAGCAGTGGCTTTGGGATATGGATGTGGAATGATGTTTGGAATATTCATGGGTCAAGTTGTTTTCTTAGCTGGAAAACTTGAAAGGTTTGTCAGAATTTTTCAAAATAGGCGTAAGAAGCAATCAAAAAGAACAAGGAAGACAACTCATCCAAATCAAAGAAAAGCGACTTCGGCACAAAATGTGACTTCATGTGATATTTTGTCGTCTCTTTTTCTTCCATGTTCCCTATATGATTATAAAAACCTAAAATCTTTTAATAGAACTTTAAATTCTTGAAATGGTAAATGGTTATACTCATTCATGGTCGAAGTTAACTCTCATTTAGTTGGACTTTCAACTTCCTTCTTTCTATGGACATTGAACTCCATCTTGGTTGAGGATCTCTAATTTGTTCAAAAAGAATTATTTTTAACTACTAATTGCCAAATAACAAAAGTTGGTGACCTGTCGGCTAACTGGGAAAAAACTTTCTAATATTTGTGGGTATTTTTACTCACATGCTAAAAAAAGTAGATAGCGTGCAGATGATGACAAATCTCATTAAAAAAAGAGTTACATTGAAATTAAAAATACAGTACATTTTAATTACTAACTGGATATTTAAGAGACATGAAGCGAATCACTTTCTTCCTAAAAACTTTGTGATCATTATCAAGTAACACTCCAAATTTTCTTACCTAGGATAAACAGAAAAGAGGAAATCTATTTAAAATTATTTAAAGCCTAAATAGACTGAAAAAATTATGTAATATTAAATTTGAGAACTTAGAAATATTTTGAAAAAATTCATGTCCCAAACATGGCTCAAATAATTTTAAAAGCAAAAATAGGCTATTTTCCTAAAAAATTTAAAGAAAAATAGTTAGAGGTTTATATTTGAGCTGAAAATTTTAGAATAATTATATGATGTGGAGAAGATGATAAATCAGGGATGTAATTCTTATAACGTGTTAAGGATTAATTTATGAAATTAAGTGCTATTTTCTTGAAAAATTAAAGAAAGATAGTTGGAAATTGATTTTTGACCCGAACTTTTTACGAAAATTATTTTAGAAGTCAAGGAAGCTATTGGATGAGGAAAATCCATATAAAATATTGTGAATTAATTTTTGATTTTATTTTACAATTACAGAAAAGTAGAAAAAGGATGAAGTGAAGACAAAAACTTTTTAAAGGGTATAATGGTAATTTCGATCCTTCCTAACAGATTTAAACCAGTAGCTCCTTCTTTCTTCTTCATTTTGCGACTGAAATCAGAGACACAGAGATAGAGAGAGAGAGAGAGAGATGAGAGGCACCGAGGAGAAGCGAAGAAGTAGAAGAGAGTGATTGGAGGTTGATTTATTATATGGAAACTGATTAATCAAGCAAGGTGAGCCTCCTAATCCCTCTCCCAAGGTTGTTTTCCGGTTTTGGTGGCTAAATAGAAAGTTGATTATGAAAGAAGTTTGGGTTTACTGAGAGAAATTGAGGTAAACGGATGAAATAAGTTAGGAGAGGCGAAGATTAAAGCTTTTACGATTAAAATGTGGTGTTGCTTCTTGATAAATCTGGCTGCATGTGGATTTTCTTGCTCTGTTTTGTTAATGGCCGAACAGGGGTTGAGGGTTTCTGCAAGCTTTGGCTTCGGATTTCTTGTCCATTTGGGGGGTAGGAGTTGGCTTTGTGATTGCATGATGTTGGTTCTGGTTTTGCAAATGGGAGAGCGTATTTATGTGTTCGCGCGCGCGCGCGTGTATAAATGATAACTCGTGTTCGAATTTGGATCTGAAACTAGATTAGAGAGAGATGTACATACACATGCTGATGTTTGTGTGTGTATGCCGCGAGAAGTAAGTTTGGAAGCTAAAATCAGGTTGGAACTGAAAAGTGATACGTACATACACACACACATATATATAGAGAGAGAGAGAGACACACACACACACAGTTAAATGGTTTCGAGTTATGGAAGTAGGGAGGATTTAGTTTGATGGAATTATGTAATTTTAATGCTTGTAGACGTGAGAATGGGAAGAACTATTGAATCTGGAATTTTGGCTAAAAACGAAGAAGAGAACTTGAAATGGGACCTTTGGGCTTCAATGGTTTTGATTTATGATGCTTAAAGATAGCATTTTAAAATCTGAAAAATTCATATTCAAGGGAAGTTGTTAGTCGAAAATTTAATAGAAAGTGAAGAAAACATTAGCCACACATGAGAAACAACATAGAACGGTGGAATAGGAATTGTGATGTTTGTTTCATGGCTTTCATGTTAGGGATGGTGAAGAAAAAGTATTGGCTGAACCTAAGGCTCCCTGTTTCAATGGGTATAGCGCTTGGTTTTCTGATGAAATGTTAAAGATAGTATAAATATTTAAAAGTGTGTAATATAGATGGATCATGGTTGTGTTGATGGCTGTCGGATGATTACATGTTGAGTTTTGAATTTTTGGAGAATATATTTCAAATCTGAAAAACTCCACATTAAATGAATGATGCCATTCAAACTTTGTGAAGAAGCGAGAGTGCTCATATGGTAGGGCAATGGTATGATGCAAGTGATGTTTAGATATATATGAAGATTAGATATGGTGCTGTGTGATAATTTGGAGGATGATTTTGACTCTGTTATACTATCCGAAAATTGTAACCTTTTATCTCGGGGGGATTTCATTTGGCTTTTATTAGGGAGATGTTATAACTGTACCTTAAATTTTAGAACCTTCGATTGTTGTTGTCTAGAACATTTTTGAAAGATAAAAGCTGAAATTTTGAGTGGAATTGAGGGGAGCTTTAGAGATTGAATGATGAAGGTTAGATTTAAATTTAATAGATGTTTGATGGCCAAAGAAGATAAGTTAGGAAAATATGATGCGATAGATTGTTGATGTTTCCAAGTGTTGTATTGAAAGTTCTTTCAGAACGTACAAGGATAGTTTGAATTAATATAGATGATTAAAAGTGTGTTTGTGGATTCAAAGATGATAGATAGATTAATAGTTATGGAGTTGAAGAATGACAAACATTAAGTTAATTGTGAATAAAAGTTAAGAGAGCTTATTGAATTATTTTGGAAGAAAGATTAAGTTGCTTAAGTAACTCAGGACTCTTAGAAATTACGTTAGCTTGGAAATGAGATAAAATAAGTTGATGCAATTATTTATACAATTGTTTGTGTGTCTCAGCCATGTGTGCAACATTAGTGAAGTTGGATTTTAATTTTTAGTTCAATGGGATTAGATAATTGAGGAAAGAAGGGCACATTGTTTGTCCTTAAATGTGATACACACACACAAATAATATTTTTGATTAAGATAACCAGTTACTAAATAAAGTAACTGTATAGATTAAGATAAGGGAGAAAACCCTTCAAAGAGAATAATTTGAATAAGAAAAATTGTTTAAAATGACTAATTACTAAATAGAGGTAAAAACTGTAACACTCCAAATTTTTTGATCTAAAAAAAAAGCAAAAATAAATAAATTTTATTTAAAATTATTTTAGAGCCTAAAATGGGAGAAATTATAGAATATTAACTTTGAGGCCTTGAAAATTTTATGAAAAATTTTATTTCCCCAAAAATAGCCTAAATAATTTTAAAGTTAATACCAAAAAATTTAAAGAAAAATACTTAGATGTTTCTAATTAACTTGAAAATTTTAGGGGAATTATTTTAAGTGATAAGAAATTTACTTGATGCATAAAGTCCTTAAAATGAGTAAAAAATTAATTTCTAGAATTAAGAGCTATTTTCTTAAAAAATTTAAAAAAAAAATAGTTAGGAGTTGACTTTTGACCTAAAATTTTAGAGAAATTATTTTATGAGGCCAAAGAAGCTAACGGATATTATAAATCCATATGAAATATTATGGATTAATTTTTGGGCTTGTCTTATGTTTCAGAAAAATAGGAGGAAGGGCGGCCATGGAAGAAAGTAAAGAGCTGAAGGGCAAAATGGTAAATCCACGTCCTCATGAAACCCAACTGCGGCGTGCCAGTGTGCCGCACCCTCCATTTGGCTTTAGAAATTTGTCTCCCCACCTCATTTGCGAGAGAGGGGGAGGGGGCGGGGAGAGAGAGAGAGAGAGAACAGAGCGACGGCGAAGAGAGTGAGCTCGCCAAAAGTGGTGATCGGAGGAGCTATACTTGTATGCAATCGTGATTTCCAGCTAAGGTGAGCCTCATGAGTCCCTTTCTGTCTTCGTTTTCTTGGATTGATGCTTGGTTCCGGCGTGTTTGAGGAGAGGGGGAGAGATGGGATAGTGAGAGAAAGTGACAGGAAGAGTAAAATAGGTGATGGAATCGTGTCTTGGCTCACGATGGGAGTGTGTTGTGTTGTTTTTGATCCACGCATGTTGAAGTTCAGCTATGTGCAGAGGTTGGCCAAACAGTGGCCATGATTCTGCAAGTTTGAGCTTCAAATTCTTTGCTCTGTTTTGTTGTTGGCCAAACAGGGGAATGAGTTGCTGGTTTAAGATGAGAATGGGTTGTGTTAATGGAGTGTGTTCAATGGATTGCACGTAGTTCTTCTTACCCTGTTATGATTACCAAAAATGGGGACCATAGTTGCTGTTAGCTGTCAAATTTATGATATCAGAACAAAAGGATCTGGCAAGAGGCTAGAACGATTTGCTCGTGGGAGATACATAATTTAGTTATAGCTTTGTAGTTATATGTTAAGATATGGATATTTATGTACATAGGCACTATGAATTAAAGATAAGGAATGGTCCTAAATGCCGTAAGTTGCTAGGTTATGATCTTGAGTTTTGAAGGTCGGCTTGAAATGTTATGCCCATATATAGAAAGTCAGGTGGAGTTATTTAATTTATAAATTATAATTATAATTAGACCAAGTGTTGATCTATCCTTATAAATATGTCAAGTTTTAATATCTGCTCAAACCCTTCAAAGAAGTAAAAGAAGAAGAAATTTGTAAGATTTGATTTGGAGGGAAGCAAACTAGGTAATAATCCTTTCTCACCTTACACTTATGTATGATGGACGTATGTCTGTTTTTGTCATGTTGTTATTTTAAGGCATGGGAATATATAATCCTTAATTCCTTATATGGATTATTTAACCGCGATCACATATAGCTGATAGGCATGGGCCAGTATCTGCCAGTTATTTACGCATTATTTATTGAGTTTGTCTATCTGTCATTGAGTATAAACACTTAATTGCATTAGCTTGCAAGGTCATGTTCCATCTTAGCTTGGTTTACATGCTTTATATGATCTGCAATTTTGTTTGAGGGAAATTATTACTATCGGGATTCTTTAGAATCTTACCCTTTTTTCTATAATGTACAACGAAGGCAAGTAACTCCAAAGAGAAAAAGGTGTTGAGAGGTGAATGTGGGCTGGACCAAAGAGCAGGAATACCGGTTTAGTATTGTACTTTTATAGTAGAATATTTCGATATTTATTTACCTATATTTCTATATAAATCATGTGAGCAAGTCCTTATTACCTACTCTATATAAATATAATTTTTGTGTCCTTTATGCGTAGGGGAGCTCTGCCAAGCACAGGTAAGAGCCATCAACTAGGATGGCTGATACAATGTAACATAATATAATATTATAGAATTACATGGTTTGGAATCCTTATAGATGAAAAGAATATAGGTCAGGATAGAGTCTGATGTGAATCACTTGTTAGTTATTTTGGAAGTTTAAATTATTTAGACAATGAATTCTAATGTTATTTTCAGGCTCAATTCTTGTATTGGAATTCTGTCTTCAAATGGTTCATGTTTTAAATATAAAAAAATTTTACCCCATTTTGCTTAGATAAGAAACCTGCCGTTAGTTATTCGCAGATATTAAAATGACTTTATTAGTACATAGAAGGTAAGATATTATGCATGATTTCTCAAAACAATAGTACAAATAGGAATTTAAAATAAGCTATATAATTTCATTACAAATTTTAAAGCATTTTGGCCCATCATCAATTTATGTGACACTCTTTTTCTCTAAATAAATAAATAAATTCTTTTTTAAGACTGGTTTTTTCCTTGACAGTTTTATTTGACATCATTAAAATGCCATAAAAATTAAGGGTCAATGAAATATTGCAAATGTGAAGAAGGAAAAAGGGAAAAAAAGTCAAATTAGTACTTCAATCTACCAATTTTTCCAAAAATAAAATAATTTTCAAGTATTTATTTATATCTTAGTTTATTTATATTTGGAAAAATGACACAAAAATGATATTTGAATTTGAAAATATCAAAATAGTCACTTGAATTTGTAAAATCCTAATTTAGTCACAAGTGACCAATTTGTCATTTATAAATTTGCTGAAATGATCATATTGCCTTTTATTTTATTTATTGTTTTTTAAAAACCAAAGCCCCTACTGGCCGACCAGTCATCGGAGCTTCGACACCAGCACTGGCGGCCGTCACCAGAGCTCTAGTGATTGACTGACAATTGGTCGCCGAAGCTTTAGCGGCCAAAAACAATTTTTTTGAAAACTTTTATAATTTCAGTATAATGGTTAACAACTTTTGTAATGCTATTAACAATTTCAGTATAGCAATTAAAACCAGATTTTTCAGAAAATTTTCTGGCGGTTAGAAACCATTTTTTTGAAAATTTTTACAATTTCAGTATAACGGTTAACAACTTTTGTAACGCTATTAACAACTTCAGTATAGTAGTTAACAACAAATTTTTCAGAAAATTCTCCGGCTGTCGGAAACAATGTTTTTGAAAATTTTTATAATTTCAGTATAATAGTTAACAACTTTTGTAACGCTATTAACAAGTTCAGTATAACAGTTAACAAATGATTTTCCGAAAAATTTAAAAAGTAGTATTCTTACAACTTCAGTAATGCCATTAACAAATTCAAAATTATGTTGTTAATTGCTATATTGAAATTGTTAATAACATTACAAAAGTTGTAACTGTTATATTAAAGTTATAAAAATTTTCCAAAAAAAAAGTAGTTGCTAAAGTTGTAAAAATGTCATTTTTTTTTAATTTTTAAGAAAACTTGTTACTAAATGTTATATGGAAGTTGTTAATAGAGTTACAGACTTGTTAACGGTATTACTGAAGTTATAAAAATACTGCTTTTTGAATTTTTTTTTGAAAAACTTGTTATT